ATCAGCACTAATCTACCACCTCTTGATAAATATTGAGACTTCCACTTAGACAATCTTTTCTCACATCTTTCCACTACTCCATTCCATATCTCTTTGGATTTGCTATTGGCACCCAAAGGCATACCCAAGTATGTTGCTGGTAACTGGCCTATTTCTCCACCCACAATATCCACCAGGTATTGTATTCTGGGCACGTCATTGATTGGAAAGATGTGACTCTTTCTCCAATTAATGTGCAGCCCTGATACTGACTCAAACAGTATGAGAACTATCCTCAAAATTTTTAGTTGGCTGTCTTCTGCATCACAAAAAATCAAAGTGTCATCTGCATATTGCAGATGGGTGATTTCCAATCTAGTATTCACCTCTTTGACCACATTAAAACCCCTTATCCAATCATTCCTATGCGCTGTTTTAATCATACTGTTCAGGCCTTCCATGACTAGCAAAAATAAGAAAGGTGAGAGTGGATCACCTTGTCTCAAGCCTCTGCTTGCCGGAAAGAAACCTTCAGGAGAACCATTTATAAGTATTGAGAACTTGACAGTGCTAATGCAGAACCTTATCCATCTTATCCACTTCCTCCCAAAACCCATACTATGTAGAATTCCAAGCAAATACTCCCAGTTAACATGGTCATATGCCTTCTCTATGTCCAGTTTACACATTATGCCTGGGATTTTATCCTTCACTCTTGAGTCAAGACATTCATTTGCAATGAGAACAGCATCAGTGATCTGTCTTCCTTTCAGAAAGGCCATTTGTTGAGTGTCAATCAGCTTTGGCATCACCTTCTTTAGCCTTTCTGTAAGAATTTTGGAAATAAGTTTGTAGACACTTCCAATCAGACTGATTGGTCTAAAATCTCTCAATTCTTTGGCTCCATTCTTCTTTGGAACGAGTGCAATGTAAGTTGCATTAAGGCTCTTTTCAAAAACTTCCTGAGAATGGAAGTTCCGGATAGTAGCCATCACATCCCCCTTTAGAATCTCCCAACACTTCACAAAGAAGCCCATAGTATACCCATCTGGACCTGGTGCCTTGTCTATAGCACATGCCTTTAGCCCTTTCAGGACCTCATCTTTGATTATGAAACTAGATATGGCAAAGGCGTATGATAGGGTATCATGGAGATACTTGATGCATGTATTGAGAAGAATGGGGTTCGCAGAGAACTTTATTAAGATGATCTGGAGACTGATAGTCAATAATTGGTACTCAATTTTACTGAATGGGCAAGTAAAAGGATTTTTCCAATCAACAAGAGGGGTAAAGCAAGGAGACCCTCTGTCACCCACACTTCTTCTACTATCTACAGAGGTACTATCTAGGGCTCTAAATTCTCTTTTTGATGATAACAACTTTATTGGATATGGTATGCCAAAGTGGTCATCTCCTTTAAACCACTTGGCATATGCTGATGATACTATTATATTTGCATCTGCTCATTCTGAATCCTTAAAAAGTATCATGGATATTTTAAGGAAATACGAGTAGACATTAGGGCAAATGATTAATAAAGAGAAAAGTTTCTTTTATATGTATTCTGAGACAGGAAATGAGTTGATCCAAAAAATGAGTGATATCACTGGATTCAGCAAGGGGCGCTTTCCTTTCAAATATTTAGGATGCCCGATATTTCACTCTAGAAAAAAAAGAAAGAGTACTATGCTTACTTGATAAAGAATGTGAAGAGCCGATTACATTCCTGGAAAGGAAAACTCCTGTCATATGGGGTTAAGGCAGTTTTAATCAAAAGTGTCTTACAGAGCATGCCAATACATCTTTTGTCGGTTCTTGCTCCTCCTAAATGTGTTCTGAATGAGCTTCACAAGCTCTTTGCTAGATACTTCTGGTCCAATAAGGAGGAAGGGAAAAGTAGGCATTGGGCATCCTGGCAGAATGTTTGTTTACCAACACAGGAAGGAGAGTTGGGATTCAAATCAATGTTTGATGTGTCAAATGTTCTCTTTGCCAAGGCATTGGGCATCCTGGCAGAATGAAGGAGGGTTGGGATTCAAAACAATGTTTGATGTGTCAAATGCTCTCTTTGCCAAGTTATGGTGGAGATTTCTAACTACAAAATCTCTCTGGGTCAATTATATGTGGAATAAGTATTGCAAGAAGATAATTCCAACATTGGTTGAATGGAAGAGTGGAACTCAAGTCTGGAAGAAAATGTTGGAGGCCAGAGAAAATATTGAACATGAGATATGGTGGGAGGTCAAAGCAGGAACTTGTAATGTGTGGTATGAAAACTGGACGAAATTGGGGGCGTTACATTTTTTAGTACCAACTGATTTTCCAATCAATGAAGAGTTAGAGGGTGTGGCAGAATTAATAGATCATGATCAATGGAAGAATCAGATACTAAACAAACCTTCCCAGAAGATATTGCAGAGCACATTAAGGCTGAAATTCATATTCAGCCTTTGAAAGGATATTGGGACAAACCTTGGTGGATGCTCAAGCATAGGTCAATTCACAGTAAATAGTGCATGGGATATGATGAGACACAGAGAACACACAAGAGGATTTTAAGAATATATGGATTAAGGGGATGCCATTCAAGATAGCTTTCTATCTATGGAGATTATGGAAAGATAAACTCCCAACAGATGACAAATTAATGAGGATGGGAATGAATGTAGCTTCCAGATGCTATTGTTGTAGAATCCCACAACAAGAAACTCTACAACACCTATTTTTGACCGGAAGTTTTGCAACAGAGGTATGGAATATTTTCAGAAAGGCAGCTGGTCTACAGATGAATATGGTGCAGATTCACCAGACTTGCAGATTATGGTGGAGGGTAGAATGTGGAGAGATGGTCAAACCAATATTACAGGCAGTACCATCTATGATAACTTGGGAACTATGGAAAAGGAGAAATTCTATCAAATATGGGGGACAGGTGAGTTTTGAAAGGGTGATGCATGAAATCAATGTCAATCTAATGTACTTGACAAAAATGAGGTACCCATGGCTGGAAAACATTTCTTTCTTGTGGCCAGATTTGGTAGAATATCTAGAGGGTTACAAACCTATTGTGATCGCTAAAACCGTGTAGTAGAAAGCCCCTTTTGAGAATTGGTACAAATGCAATACTGATGGGGCCTCAAGAGGCAATCCAGGGCCTAGTTCATATGGATTATGTGTAAGGAATTGGCATGGAGATTTGGTATTTGCAGAGTGTAAGGAAATAGGGGACACTACCAATATAGTAGATGAGGCTAGAGCCATCCTGAAGGGACTATCCTATTGTGTAGATCATGAGCTTCACCCACTGATTTTAGAGACAGATTATATGCTAATGAAGAAAGTGGTTGAAGGGGACTGGAAGATACCATGTGTAATATCACTGAAGGCAACTCACTGGTAGATTTTTTATCTAACCAAGATTTTGTTTTTGCAGGTACGACCAATTTTTACTCCTTTTCTGAATTGCCTTGTGCAGGGAGGAAAATTCTTAACCTAGACAAGATTCAGACACCTAACCTCGGATTCAGAGCGGCCAATAATCCAAACCATCATTGAAAGCCTCTCCTGGACCTGTAACTCTAATATTGACAATACTCCAGTGTGTGGTATTAGCCTTTGGCTCAATCTACTGAAGAATTATCAATATAAGAGAAATAGAGGCCAAAGAGGCTAACAATAGTGAATTTAAGAAGATATAAGAAGTGGTGGACTCCCTGTTTGATCTGAAGGTATTAAAGGTTCACATGTAACTCTAGATTTGCCATTCAAAAACTTGGAGACTACCTCCACGTGGTTATAAGCCATGTCTTTGGTGAGAGCTCGAAGGACATAATATGGTGGAAACCACAGGTAAAGGAATACATCTAGTTTTACATAAAAATCTATGATACAAGAAGATCAAAACCTTGTCAACAGCACCTAGGGCTGAATAACAAGAGTTTCTCAAAGGGAAGAAAACAAGATAGAGGAGAAATCAACGAGTCTGCCACAAAGATTACAACATAGATAGCAGACAACATACAACAGAGGAAAAAAATAAGAACATTTGTGGCTTCTTCCTCACAGAAAAGATGGGGAAAACACTAGTTATAAACGAAAATCAATGAGCTCCGTCTATAGATTCATTCATACTTTTATATCGAGTGAAGATTTCAAGAAGATCTGAGGTTTGAAGATACCTGAAACTTAGCAAAGAGAAGGACAAATCTGATTCTGTAGTGTAGATAAATCGCTGGGTCATTTGCTGGCGAGCCACCATCTCCACCGCGAGAAGAAGCAAAATCCTTGCAAGCTCGATGGTCTTTGGACCATAGCAGCTACAAGTTTCTAATTTTTATTTCCTTATCAATGGCTGTTTTTTCTTTTTACTTATTTGTTGTTGGGATGATGTTTTGGCTTCCTGAACCTTTGGTGTCAGGAGCATTTATTATTTTATAAAAAAAATATCCACTATTTTTAGTGGTTACCAAAAAAAAAAAAGCATCTCCACAAATATAAGAAATTTCCATCAGCATTAAGGTCACAGATAATTGAACAAAAGCAAAATAAACTAGAATAGTATAAAGTTCTTCTCTAATTGGAAATGGCAACAGAAAAGCAAGTACTTGTCTAGGAATTCCTATTTTTCCTTTTCTTGTCCTTCCATTAGAAGTAAATGGGAAATTGGACTCCTTTCCTCTTTTACTTTCTGCAACAATTAATTCGAAAAACTAGAAAGGGTTCAACATCTCAGAAATAGCCATATTACCCTACTATTCCGACATTATGAAGGCTTGAGATAAGCATTACTATATTAGAAAAGAAAAGGCTAAACAGGGGAAGAACAATGAGAATACTTGTGCCATTAATCTGGTAAGGCATTAAAGAAAACAACAACCAAGAACTGCAATCTACAATGATACCAAAATTCACAATGATACATGATTCACTTCTGGAATCTACAATGATACCTAAATTTACACGTAACCATCGCTATTTGCAGTCCACCAAGCACAAAATACACAGCAGTATCAAATTCGGTGTATGTCACAATCCACAATAGTATCGAATTCATAAAATTCTTGTCACAACTCACATAAAGTAATACAACAAATAAACAAGGAAAATCATTACCTAAAAGGCAACAAACAAGAGATCGTAACTCTCTACTTATCAATTGCCGCTATCTGTTGCTTAGCTTGGCATCACCATGCCAATTTCAATCTTGAAACTGAGATCAAGAACTCAGATGTTTCTACATTCATGCCAATTTCAATCTGCACCAATTTTTCAATGAGAAAGCCATCACTTCCAAAAATAAAACAATGTAACAGAACTGCAAGGTCAAAAAGAAAGCGACCTTGCCAGTGTAACTAAGCCCTTCCCTGTTACTGTGGACATTTAGACTGAATCCACCTTCATCACCAACCTCACAGGCATCTTGTCATTCCCATTAGTGTGTGTAGACTGTTCTCCAATAAAGGGTTGGTAGTCAGAAACAATGACTGATTTGAGATAAGTGAAAAGTGAAAGTGAAAAAGTTAATACACTAACCTAGAGCAATGTAACTACAAGACCCTGCAATGACAGGCATAGACTTGTTTTCCTTGGCACTGACATCAACCGTCTCCAAAATCAGTAACTCGAGCTCCAAAATCAGCAGTACTCTACAGACATAGTCACTGAACAACTTGTATTTCATGTGTCATACATCTTTCAATGAGAATCAAAAACTTCAACCTACCAAAATAATTAAGACATAACGTTAACCAAATAAAACGTTGAGCAGAAATAGAAACACATTTTAAAGATGATGAAATTTCTTTAAACTACTATTTGTCAGATACTATCTCTCCATGAAAATGAATTCTTAGTAGTGAAATCTACTAGATAATGCTTGTTCACTTCTCATGCTGCAAGACATGAATACGGACGATCAAGAAGTTTGTTTTGAAAAATTTGCATGAGCTAACTCCCGTTTGAGGAAGGTGGCACATAGAAGTGCGTTCCATCAATCAGGGACACCAGTGGTTGCAGTCTTGGTGGTGGAGAGGAGCTGGTCCAACCTTGGGCATAAGTAATACAAAGACAAGTGACCGTCTCTTCTCTGGACTGTCATCCCTGTTACATTCAACAAATTCAAATTCCAAGCTTCTGATTTGTTTTGTTTCACCAACAGCACATTGATCACAGTGTTAAATTCAAATGACATCTTCAGCAACTCTTGGGATGATCCTATGTTAGGACGTTCCTCCAGATGACAGTTACCGACGTGTCTTCCAGTCCCACCACTATTCATTGAAGTGATTCAATAGTTGGGTATTATCATCACCAAAAATATTGCAGCTATTAAAGAGTAAAGTTAAGAGATTATATAAAAAAATCATCTAGAAATAACACCAATATACGAAATCAATTCACCCAATGAAAGCCACCTTCTGAATTCAAAGATGCAAACATGGACTTGCCATCTGATTATTGAAACTAACGTAGTAACGGGCAGTATACCCAAGAAACCATTTGAGTTTATTTCTATATTCAACAATGTGATCATGTAAGAAAAGGAAGTCTGCAATCAAACAACAAAATAAGCTAACATCAAACACAATGATTCTACAATTGTTATTGTACATTCAGTAGTCTTTAGTTTAAGACCACAAAATTCAAAAGTCTTTGCAAACTTATGACACAATTTTATAGTAGTCTTAGTTCTCTTTAGGTGTCTATAGCTAAAACTCAAAGAGAATGAAGTTTTTCCTTAGCATACAATCCTGTACAGATGTTCCACTGTTCTTTCTTTCTTTTACAATTACAAGCATAATTCTCCAACATCACCACCTTAAAACATAGAAACTAATATTATATCTCTCAGATATACAGTTGGTAATTCATTAACAACTAACAAATCAATTAAGAAGTTAATCTAACCAACCAAAAATCAATTACTAGCAAGTTATCCTCAATGTAAACCTTATTCAATCAGATTATACACATCGAAATTCTAAAAACTCGAGATTCAAGGAAAATCCCAAAAGTATTGTTAAAAACCTAGGGAAGAGCTGAAGCTTCTCCATGGTGCAGGATGTAGGGTGACGAGTGATTGAAGCTTTCTTTTGCTCTAAAATCCACGAAGATAAATTCCTTTTGGAATTTTTCTGGAAAAAAATATAATTAGAATAGAAATATCAAAACTTTCAAGAATAATTCAAAGTTGAAAAAAATACACAATTGAACAAGAACTCGCAAGTCTAGTGACTCATCTTCTAAGCTTTCGATGTCTAAATTAGGGCTTTATTGTTAAATTGAGAGAAACTGAAAAGACCGAGAGGAGAAGAGACGTATGGATGCAGAGCATTGGGGACTTGATTATGGATGAAGATGTATGCACAAATTTCAGAACCAAAAACTACAAAGAGTTAGTAATACATAACCGTCCAAATTGAAAATGCTAACCAGCCAGGGAATGACATAATCAATGGCACTTCATGAACCAACCATACAACCGCCGCTGCCACCTCCATCTCTTCCTGCTCCGATCGCGGCTATTGTGGAAGAAGACGGTGGTAGCTCCGGCATTCATCAGCATAACTAATACAAGCATATTTAACACTTTTCTTATAGATCCTACAAACGACCATGTCTTACTAGCACATCACATTCAGACTATCAACAATGTCTTACACAAATAAATAGTAATAAGTTTTGTGCACCGACAGTCAGTCTATTATAACTTGAAAACAAAATCTTACCCCATTTGCGGAGTTCTACCAAGGCCATTGCCCAAGAGATTTCGTGGCTGCAGACGAGCATATGTCATCGTCATCGTCATCGTTGTAGCCAGACACAAACACAAGAAGCACCATAGTAGAAGTGGTGAAGTTGATGACATCGTTCTGTGCTTTAATTTTCTGGTAGATTAGAAATTTAAATTCTGAACTCGTCGTAATCAAGCATGGTGTGCTGATGAGGAAAGGTTGTTACTGCTTGAGGTGGACAAGTAAATCTGGCTAGGCAGATTTTTCTATTTATAGAGATATATATATCATGACAAGTGACACTGGTGGTGGTGCCACAATGCAATGTATTCCTCACCACTCATTGACTTTTGGCTCTATTCTTTGGCCTCCCTCCACCCCCACCCCTACCCCAAACTAGCGAGTGTATTGATTATAGATTCAGTCGAACTCAATAATTTTAGTTCAAATTCTGAATTTGTAGTAAGAAATGCATTGATATATACAAATTATTAATTTAGAATCCAATAACTTAAAACAATTAAGTTTGTATATACTTTTTTACATTGTGAACAAAATCTCAGCATAAACTGTAATCTTAAAAAATTTACGCCTCCCTCCACCCCCACCCCCACCCCTACCCTAATATACTTTTTAAGATTACAGTTTATACTGAGATTTTGTCACAATGTAAAAATATTGCAAAATGTTGCTCCAAATGCAGAATATTAAGATAAAAAATGTATATGTGCTTCTTGTTGTGGATCCAACTGTGCTGTAACTCCATAAGTCAGATTTTAATTTGTTCTAATCATTCACCATGCATGTCACAATCTGTTTACCATGCGAATACAAAAACAACACTACTCAGTTTAATCACACAGGTGGAATTTAGGAAGGGTAGTATGTACATACCTTACCTCTACCTTGGCGGGTACAGATGTTTCCGATAGACCCTTGGCTCAAAAGAAAAGTAACTGATGTACGAAAGTCAGAAAAAGAGACGACAAAATAGCAATGCATAAAACAAGTGTAGCAACAAATAATAATATTTTTTTTTGAGATAAGGTTAACTTAGCAACAAATAATAATATGGAAAAAAAGAAACTGCTGGGAAACAGTTAATGTACTAATTATGCTGATTCAGTAAGCAAAACCAAACTTTCAGTTAACTACAATCAATAATCGTTAGCCTTATAGTCTCTACCCGCTTCTGGTGTCAAGTGTCCTGAGTGATTTTAATAGCATCATGATGTTTCAAGGTTACCTAAGTACTGAACACATGCATATGGGAAAAATAAAGATACGTTACAGATAATAAAATTGTGATAGAAACATAAAAGCCATGATTACAACACATTGTCAAAATTTTCAGTTTCAAGTTGCAGCTGGAGTTGATTGATCTCTTGCCCTACAAAGTACAGACAACTTTCCAATATCAATCTGTGAAATTTTTTCCATTTCCTTTCCACCACACAGTGCTGGACCTCTTCCGAATTATGTCTACTAAATGTTGTACAAAATCTTTTAATAATTACTAAAATGGAGAGGGGGGGATTGCCAATAGTATGTGTTGCTGTGAAATAACTCTTCAGACACATCACTGCTCAGTGATGGGCATGTCATGGAACGACTGGTTTACTGTCCCAAGCCTCTCTTACTTGGATCAAATCCGGACGGTATCTCTTAGCTAGAACTTCTACTTGATCAGGAAATGACATGTTTCCAAGTTGACCTATGTGAAGAACCATTTGGTTCCATCTCTTTCGACATATCTCTCCAGCCCTGTGGTCAAGAAGATTGTCCCAGTCCACATCCTTGATGCAGCTTGCGTCGAGCTCAAAAAGTGCATCAACTAGGCGATAGTCGTCAGAATCCGCCCATTCACCTTTGGCCACCATGGGTGATGTTAATTGATCATACCATTTTGAGCAGCAGTTTGCACCAATTCTCGTGGACAAGCTTTCACTTATTGCACCCCATGCAATATTATCCCGTAGCATCCCATGCTTAGATTTCTTCTCTTCAGAAAGCTTCAGTCTCAGATCGGTGTTTACTAAATCAAACAAATTCTGGTATTCCTCCTGAGTCCATTGTCCTTTATTCTGATGTTTTAGCCTTCGCCATGTATCCTTCACATGCCACCGATGTTTTCCAAGTTCATCAGCTAAGTCCCTCCATTTGTTCCCATGCTCTTTCTGGAACTTCAGCACCATCTCATACTCCTCTTCAGTCCATTTACGTGATTCACTTCTTCGAAACAGGATCTGCCCACGAGAGTAAACTGCAGTAGAAGGTCTGTATGGTATAGCTCTCCCTATTTCTTTCCAGCAACCCTTAATTTCAGGATAAGATCTAGAATTTAAAACCTTTTTCAGCCCTTCTTCGCCTAAGTTATGTATCTCAATGTATTTATGAACAGCTTCTTTGACAACTTCATCTTCTAGCTTTGAGAATCGCTTGCCACGCAGTAAATTTTCTTCCTCGATCTCATGATTCTCATCACTTGGATCATTCAATGAAGGGAAAATCTGAACCTGACCAGAAAATCTCTCTCTCTTTTCACTCTTCTCATGTGTAGGATCTTCAGAGTTGTGTCCTAAGTTTACCCTTTTTCTCTTTTTGATATTACCTTTGTCTGTTTTGTTTTTTTCTTCCATCTCTATAGGTGAAGAAATATCACCTTCATTGACTTCAGCAACATCTTCCTGCATATCCTCAGTATCATGCATTTTCTCCAGCTCATTCCCGCAGCTTTTCTTCAACTTCCTACTTTTATTCCCTTCAACAGTTCTCGAAGCAACCTCGTCGCTGTCTTCACTAAACTTCCTAGAATGTTTTCCATGTTTTCTTTCTTTCTTTCTCTTGATGTAAGAGTCATCACTCTTAGCTTTAATATCAGTGTTTGTCATTTCTACACCGTTGGTAGTCTTAATGTTTTTCTTGGATTTCTTCTTCCTTCTAATCTCGTCCACAACATCTCCACCAGAGACCTCACCAAGGGTCTCAACTACCTTGTCACTGTCCCGCATTTCAGTTGCACTTGCAGGAGCACTAGTTTTGGTGTCAAAAGGCTCATTCAAGCAGCTTTTCTTCAGCTTATTCTTTTTCTCTTTCTCAACACATTTCACAACATCTTCATCACTGACTTTGTTGGGTTTTCCAGAATTTTTTCCACCTTCTCTTTTTTTCTCTCTCTTAACCTCACACTCATCACTCTCTCCCCCAAGACCACCGGTGGCAGCATTCTTATTGCTTTTCTTGGATTTCTTCTCTGGCTTACGGAGCATATCCTCCCCGGTAGAAAAGTAGGTTGAACCGGCACCAGGGCCACCAGCTCCAGGTGGTGGTACCCCACCCTTCAGCCCTTCTTCACCATACTGGTCATACACAGCTTTTTTCTGGGAGTCGCTAAGCACCTAGTAAATTTAATGCAGAAAAATATTAGTCATCTATTTAACATTCAAATCATATAATATCTAATAACACCAATAAAAAAGAATCTGTAAAGCTAAATCATTGGAATCAGATTCCCCAGTTTAGATGCTTGCTGCAAAAGAAAAACATCAATCCTTGTTTCTGTTTCACTATAATGTTTCAAGCAGAGGCAGAGCAAGACTGCCGATTACAGGTTCGGCCAAAAGCTTGAATTTATTTTAAAAGATCCATTGAATATGGAAACGATTATATAAATTTAGAACCCAGTAATTTAAAAAGATAAGATTAGAATCCCAAACAATAAACTTCATATCCAGGTTTTGCCTCTGGATTCAAGCTCTAACCTAGTTGGGGCAAAACTACTTCTTGTTTACTAGTGATCTTTCAAACTTTTCTTTCAACTATAAAAGATTGTAAAACAAGTGTTTTTCTTCAGTAATATTGATAGTTACACAATTCGAACACATTGAATGGACACCAAATTAAAAACCAATAAACCCTTAATTCAATTCGAACTTCCACAAAACTTCCAAATTATGAAAGATTAATTGGGATCTAAAAGAATGAGACTTTTTCCTTGGTGAATTGAAACAAGTGATTGGTTAATGAAACGATACAAAACACTCAGAAAATTAATGAATTGATAATCATCCTATAAACCCATCATTCTTTTTGCAAAATTATAAACACTAGACGTTCTAAAAGCTCAAATTTAGAACCTATTAGAGTATAAAGGAAAAAAAAGATTGAAACTTTGAGCAAAGAAAGCATACATCATAAGCCTCAGAGATGTGTTTGAACTTAGCTTCAGCTTCAGCTTCTTTCTTGCTTTGTGGGCTCTTATCAGGGTGCCATTTCATGGTGAGTTTTCTATAAGCTTTCTTCAAATCATCATCAGTAGCGTTCTTATCAACACCCAATACTTTGTAATAATCAACCCCCATCTTCACTTCTGCTGTTTTTCTTCCTGACAAATTTTCGAAAGAAGAAGAGAAAGGTTGTGGGAATTATAAATAAGGTTTGCGAATTTGTGAAGAAAAAAGATTTATATTTGTTATTTTTAGTTAATTTCTTTAACATTGTGTACGATTAATTAATAATTCTAAATGGGTAGATTACATTTAATTTAATGGTGTTCGCAACAAATTTCCTTAAGCGCTGAAAATCAACTGCAAGCAAAATAAATAAAAGAAAAATATTATTTTTATTGATGAATCGTTGTGAGTACAATTTTGTTGTTCTCTCTCCTAAGATTCTCCAAGATTCGAGGGCCTTCAGTAGATTATTTCTCGAAATGTTGGATGATGTAGACCTCCTTGAGATGTTGTCGATCTCCGGGAACGTCGGAAAGCGCTTCGTCGTTTCAAGTCGATCTCCGGGAAGAACTTCGTTGATGACTCCTTCGAAGAGCTATGTAGTTGATGGTGTAGCTTCCTCCAATTGCAGAATGCTTGTTGAAAAGCTTTCTTGATGCCCTTAGAATGTCATGTTCATCCCCTATTTATAGTTGTAGGGGGTGGACAAGGTTGCATATGATTGGCCAAAGGATGTCATTTTGACACTTGGCATGTTGTGATTGGTTCTTGCACTTGATTGGGACTACCACCTCATTTGGACACGTGGCGCCGCCTTATTGGTCTTGGATGTCTAGTCACTGTGACATGTGGCATGAGTTTGGGCTTCAAGGGTGAAATGGACCTTGGATTTGAATTTAATAAGATGGACTTATTTATTTGTAAAGCCCAAACTAATCATTCAGCCCAAACGAACATGGATTTAATTCAAATTTCGTATGAATTTAACCCAATACAATTTATAAATGCCCCTTACTTCGAGACTTGTCGACATGTAGGCTTGCCGAAGTTTGGCGACAAGACTTGAAGTATTCATGAATGTGTTTTCATTTTTCAAGACTTCTCTACGTGTAGGCTTGCTAAATTTTGATGACTAGAGTTGGAGTCTTCATGAATGCATTGTTGAGACTTCAAGAGTATTTGTTTCTTGTCGTCGTATTTTAACTAGGCCACTACAAATGATTTTCTTGTATTGATCTCAATCAATTTATTTTTTTTACACATTCTTGCTCGACAACCACGTGGACCCTCTATATTGATTTCAAATAGATGGGTCTAGTGAGTAGTAACATTATTTTTGTCTGATTTTCCTTGCAAGGTGTGAGGGGAAAAAAAACAAGAAGATTGATTGGATTTTGAATCAAATAAAAAGAATATCAACTTTCCTTTATCCAAGTCAATGAAGATAATTTTCATTCCTTAACTCTTTGGTTCATCCTTCCATAGTGATGTGGCTTCAAAATGGACATGGAATATCTCAATCCAAATCAAATTTTCAAATTCCAAATTCACCTTATTATGCCTTGTGGAAGGATTAGAAATGGCCAAACACATACACAGCCCCTCAAACTTGGCTCCATTTTTCATTTTGGCACTCCAACTTAGCCTTGTTCCATTTTAACCCTTGAACTCCATTTTTTCTATTCCATCTTAACACGAAATACTATTTTTATGATTTCTTTATTTTATATATATTCTTCAAATGCAACTTCTTATTTTAAATCGTCACGTGTCAGTTAATTTTAGTTAAAAAAATTAAAAATTAACAAAAAATAATTCTTTTTAAAAAATTAAACATTCGCGAACGAACATAAAAATTTTCAAACAATAATATTATTTTTTGAGATTTCTCTGTATTTTTGCATGAAAATAAATTGACGAAAGTTCTTTGATTTTCTTTCTTAAACATTCAATTAAACTAAATAACACTACTTATTTATTTTTTCTTATCATCTAGGCTATCTAAATTTAACGCAAATACTCACTTTTAATTTTTAATATAAATCAATACGAATAAAAAAACTCATCTTCAATACGAGTAAAAAAAGACTCTTGTTCATTGCTAATAACACTACTAAAAAATGTTAAAACTCGACTTACTTTATTAGGTTGTCGGTGATTTTTAAGAAAGAAAACCAACACAATTTCGTCGGTTATTTTTCACACAAAAATACATAACACTCTTAAAAAGAAATTATGTTTTTTAAAAAGAATTATTTTTTGTTAATTTTTAATTTTTTTAACTAAAATTAACTGACACGTGTCAATTTAAAATAAGAAGTTGCATTTGAAGAATATATATAAAATAAAGAAATCATAAAAAATAGTAATTCGTGTTAAAATGGAACAGAAAAAATGGAGTTCAAGGGTTAAAATGGAACAAGACTAAGTTGGAGTGCCAAAATGAAAAATGGGGCCAAGTTTAAGGGGTTGTGTATGTGTTTGGCCATTAGAAATCTTTCATAAGAATCCCTATATAATCCTCTCCAATGCATAAAGAACTTCATAAACAAAATTTTAGACGCTGCAAAAAAAACAAGTTATCCGAGTGTATTCAGTTGCGACTTCGCTTATTTTTTATCAAATCGAGAGACGTAACCTCCATCACATCTCGAAAGAAACTTCAAGCAAAGTACTCTTGCTACTTTCTCAGGTAACTTAGAATCTTGTTTAGCAGTAACTCGTTTTGATGGTTCAGCTTTGCGCGCCTGTAGTGTAAAACCCATATCTAATTGTAGAAAGATCGAAATTGTGAGCCGTTTGATTTTTACGAAACTAGAAACACGGGGCTATAACATAGAAAAAAGATTGCAGCCAAAATTTTATTTCATTGCTACAGTTTTTATCTTCAATGTTGAACCTGCTTCTGATTGACAGATTTGCACATCCGTAGTATAAAATTTATTTCTAATTGTAGAAAAATCAAAATCGCAAGCCGTTTGGTTTTTTCCGAAACTAGAAACATGGCACTACGACATATAAAATATTTGTACCCAAATTCCTCTTCAATTGCTACAGTTTTGATCTGCAAGGTTGAACCCGTTTCTGATTGACAGATTTGCGCAACTGTAGTGTAAAATTCATTCCTAATTGTAGGAAAATCGAAATGGTGAGCCGTTTGATTTTTTCAAAACTAGAAACATGGAACTACGACATATAAAATATTTGTAGCCAAATTCCTTTCCAATTGCTACAGTTTAATTTTCAAGGTTGAACTCCTTTCTGATGGTGAGATCTTTTTGTATTTTGATTACTCCAATTGTGTTTTTGCCAATGTAACCTCCTCTTATTTTTATTTTTTTTCAGAGCCACGTTGTGCAATCTTGATTTCCGGCAGCGACAATGGAATTTAGTGACCGAGATGCGCCATACCCTTGCCTTGAAATCGTGGAGAACAAGCAACATTCGCGCACCAAAGTTCTCACCTTAAAAGTTCATCCTCCGGTGATCGGCGCTTTCCCACTTATTAGAAAGATGCTGGACACTTCTCATCATCTCCCAGAGTGGTCGTCAACAAAAACGAAGGATGTTACGGACAATTTCTCCGGCAATGTCACAACTGAAAAAGTTTTCCTTTTGAGGTCTTCCACTCATCAAAATGTTGGTGTTGCCATCCCTTCTCATCGTGATGAACATCTTAGCAGTTGGCGTGTTCCTTCTTATGGGTTTGGTGAGGTTCGCTATACGTCAGGCTATTGGGAGTGGGTAGAGGATGTGCTTGCCCGCTGCAAGGAGACTTTGGATAACATTAAGACTTATGATGCTATCTTTGCTTCAATGTTCACATACGACCACAATGAAAATGTTCTCCAGGCCTTTTGCGAGAATTGGCGTCCATCCAATAATACAGTCTCTACCTTCGTCGGAGAGTTGTCTATTTCTTATGGAATTTGAGAACCATTGGAGGTCTTCATGTTCATGATTCCTTTTATGATGAAGTTATACCCTCAGCTAAGGAGTTGACACATGTAGATGATCAAGGGAAGTCTTTTCTCCCAAGAAGCTGCTCCTTCTTGTTTTCGGCGTTCTACCGACTTACCAAAGGTGCCATCGACGAAGTCTCTTTTCGAGAATGGACAAAGTTTTGGTTTAGGGGGTCGAGAAAATATGTCGAGCCTTCACCAAGGACTTCTAAGAATCGCACAAAACCAAGGATGAATCATGATCCTTCTGGAAATATTGACATGAGCTTTTTTCCTCGAACCGAAGAAGAGAATGCTCCTTTTGTCGAGCTAGGCATAGAAGTAATCATTCAGAGATAAGACTTATCTGGCGGCTTTTCTCGCTATGTTGGCTTTGCAAGTTTGTTCTTCCTAACAAGAAAGCAGATTGTATTCGTGCTACTATCTTCAAAGTCGCAAGCTTGATGGCTCATGGAGAAATATTTTCTTTGGCGGTTCCGGTCCTAGCAAGCATCTATCGCGGCCTCAGGGATATATCCATTTCTTCAAACTTGGGTGCTTGCAATACATTACTTCCCCTCCATTATGTATATGGATGGATAGGTGAGTATTTTGAGACCTACTTCCGTGTTACCCGTCCTCAACGAGGTGTGCGAATGTGGCAGATTTCTGGAGAAAAGATGGCGAAACATTTTGACCTTGTTGATGCTCGCAAGTTATTTCAACAAGTGAATGTGCATGACCTCCACAATCTGGCCATGCTACAAGGAATGAGCTGCATATTGATGATAGTGGAAAATTGTCCACTTCCTGGAGCGATTTCCTTATAGGCCTTCGTTCAAGTTTTGTCACTTTGAGGTTGGATGATGAATTGATTGTGGAGCCTTATAGCCCTCACCGATTCAGTCGACAATTTGGATATTGTCAAGACGTTCCGGGTGACTCATAGAGCACTATTATGATGGTTCACTGCTAGCTTTGGTGCAACTATGGGATTCATGTATTCATCTTGGGAGCTCTTCGAAGATCATCATACCAATGCGTCCATCCAATAAGGGGTCTTTAATGACTCGTGAGTATTCAGATTGGTGGCCATCCCTTCGAGAGATTCTGCTGAGAAGAAGTACCTACATAATTTTGAGAAGTACGGAAAAAGATGATGTTTCTTTACCAACCAAAGGAGAACAACTTCAAGAAAAGCTTCCTCACTCTTTAAAGTCCAAGGTGACACCAAATATCCCTCCGCAATCTGTCAGAGTTGTTTCCAAGTCTAAAAGTTC